GAGAGAGAGAGAGAGAGAGAGAGAGAGAGAGTAGACATCTTCTAAAAGCAAACACACACACACACACACACACACACACACACACAGACTCAGAGCTAGCCCTACAGGCAGCAAGACAGCTCCTGGCACCCTAGCACACACGCTATCACCTCCATAATTGCCCTCATTTGCAGATGCTCTTACACATGTACACACATCCATCCTCAAGAGAGCAAGGGCTCCCACAAGCCCTGGATCACCTCATATCCCCTAATATACACACAGACCGCAGGCCCTCCATTCATAAGCAGAAATAAGGCACACATGTTGGCACGCATGGGGTTCCCAAGGGCTCCAGTCTCAGCCTGCACACACAGAGGCACCTCCCCACCGCTCAGGAGGACAAGGAGGTTTGGATACCCACACAGTACAAAAGGCCCACGCGTATATTCCCCAAAGATACAAAGGTCTGCTCCTTTTTTTTTTTTTTTTTTTTGTGGTACCAGGGATAGAACTCAGGACTTTGTGCTTGCCAAGCAAGCACTTATTCTACTGCTAAGTTATCTCCCCAGCCTTCAGTCTGTTCCTTTACACTGCAGTCATCCTAGCCCAAGCTGATGGCCTCTCCTAGCCCCTGCATTTCACTTATTTATTGCTTTCAAACACAGAAACCGAGGGGAAAATGTTTCTTTCCGAATCATGAATCTCTCAGAGAAGAGCTTGCAGTGTGGAAGTGGACAAGGTGTGCACTCACACACATGCGTGTGTGTGCACACCTACACATGCACCACCAAACAGGACCACAGATGAGCAGCCTCCTCCCCCTCAGATATCTCTTTTACATGACAATCCCAGCTACCGTTCCTGAGTACTTTAATCTGTGCCAAGCGTTAAAATGCCAAGCATTTTACAATCACAATCTCATTTTTCTTTTCACAATAACAAGGCTGGGCAAGTTATCTACAATAATGAGGCAGCATCTCTTCTAACTCCTGTTTTACTGACAAAGAAACTGAGGTTCAGAGAAATTATTTGATGAATTCAAACCAGTGCCAAAAGGTAACACTTGTCAGAGGAAAGCCAGACTCATCTGATGTCAGAGTTCAAACTTTTGATTTCCAGGTTATACACACGACCATGTTCATGTATGTGTTCATGTGTGCATGTGCACACACGCGTGCGTGCACACACACACACACACACACTTTCTGTATTCTGTCAAAAGACCTGGCTCAGCACTTACAAGCTAGGCCTATTTCTCATCTGCAAAATGGGAATAACTACAGAACTTCCTTTGTTTCCTTCTCCTCCTCCACTCTGGGTTGAGAGAGCGAAATCAGGAAGCCAATATCATAGCATGGGTGCAGAAGAACTCCAGGAAGTAAAAGGGCATAGAGATTACATTGATGCTGCAAAACTTCTTAAGCAAGAGAGATGGAGGAGGCTGCAGCTAAGCCTAAGGAGCAGATGAAATTTGGGTAGGTTCAGGGGACGTGTCAGGGAACAGAAGAAATTATCCCGGCAAAAACTCAATGCACAAGCTGTTGCAGTATGACGAAAAAGAATGAGAAGCGTGTACTCCTCGGGTGATAATAAGATAATCACCGCTTAGAAAGTATTTGTATACCAAGTACTGTTTTACCTGCATTATCCTCTTCAGTCCTCATAGCAACCTTACAAAGAGTCATATTGTTATCCTTCCTCACTCTCCAATCCTCCCCTAGTAATAAGGTCTGGACCTAGAGTGCTCTAGCTCTGAGCTACACCAGCAATCATAAGCTGGTGTTTGATACAGGGTCTCACTATATTATTATTATTATTTTTAAAATTTTATTTATTTATGTGTGTGTGTGTGTGTGTGTGTGTGGCCAGCTCAGCCCACCAGGGGGCGGGACAGGCTGGCATGTAGTGCTGGGGGATTGAACCGCGGTCCCTGTGCTTTGCTAAGCTTGTTCTAAGTAGGTGCTTTAGACCACTGAGCCATCTAACCAGCCCCTCTCACTATATTATTCAGACTGGTCTGGAACTTGTGATCCTGCTGCCTCAGCCTATGGAGTAGCTAGTATTCCAGGGATGCCCCACCACATTTGACTTATTATACTTATTTTGTAGTTGAGGAAAAAAGCTTACAAGTGCTCCTATTTCAAGATCTGATACTCAGACTCTGAACCCGGACTCTTAATTGCTATGCAATTCTAATCCTGAATTCCAATTACTCAAAAAATCAAAACTAGAATGAGATGTATTGAACTCAACAGTGAAGCAAAAGACACTGGGACCAGATCATCTGGGTATCTGTCTTGGCTTTGCCCCTTACTACTTGGGTAACCCTGGGACAGTTATGCAATTAGTCCATTCAGACTTAGTTTTCTCACCTATGAAGTGGGATAATAACAAAGCCTACCTCCCATGCCAAACCGTAATTGTAACATTTATGCAAATGACTAAAAGGGCTCAGAACTATGCCTGGTACACAGTAAGCAACCAATAAATATTAACCATCATCAATGGCCAGGAAAAGTCAAATTTTCTAGTTGTTACCCTGCTGGATGCCGCTACAAATTCTTTGTGAGCAAGACAGAGCATAAATCAATCCATCAAAATTTTCCTGAATAACTCACTGCAAATCCATTATTCCAGCCCACAATTTGCCTGACTCCAAAGAGGACTGAAGTGAAATCTCTCTGCCAATGACCCAAGACTTTAGCAGCAAAAACAGTCTAGCTGGGAATGATTTTGAAAAAATTCAGATTAGCAAATTGAGTGTTCAGATGAGCAAATTGAGTGTTCCTATCAGGAAACTGGATTTCTTCTTGTGGCAGACTAAAGGCAGGTCACTTTGCTTCTGTGAGCTTGGTGTCCTTACTTGCAAAATGCAGATGACAATACCAACTTCTCAGGGATGGAGCAACAACTTTTTTTTTTTTTTTTCGGTACCAGGGAACTCAGGACCCTGCACTTGCTAGGCAAGCGTTTATTCTCCTGAGCTATCTCCAGCCTCAACAACTTACTATATTTTAAAAAATAATATTTTTTTTAGAAGCTTTGACTCCATTCCTGGGGCTTTCATTAACACCAACATGTCTAGAGTCATCCAGTTCTCATTTCAATTCTCTTCTTAGTCACTAAACAAGACATGGTCATCTGGTCCAGGTCGGAGGGATTGCGATCCTGTCCTCCCCCACCTGAATCTCTGTGTAAGGTTTGGGTTTGAAAAGAGGCTTCATTAGTAACTGGATAATTCTGTGGGAGGCCCCCAGCAGAGGTTCCACCCCGCCGGGGAGTAATTCTAGGACGGTAATGTGAGCTGGAAGAGGCTGGAGACACAGCTTCACATTTATTTACTCTGACAGCTAAATTGGTGAGCAAGGGGGAAATCAGATGAAAGCCATTTCTGGGTAAATACTAAATATAAAATTTAAACATTCAGGTTGCGACAAATGTGGAGGGAGCAAATGGGAAGAGACACAGGCAGTACCCCTCCCACCCCAGCCTAGGACCCCATTCTCACCTTGTCTATTTCCTGGACATTTCCTATTTGAGGAAAGAGCATGGAATAGAGAACAAACTGCATGACCCTAGGCCAGCAATTTACTTCCCATGGCCACAGTATTCTTGGTGGTAAAATGTGTGTGTTGTTTGAATCAGGAGCTCTGAGAAGTGATGGAGAGAGCCTTGGAGTCAGACCTGGGGCCAGATCCCAGCCTAGCCACTTCCTGGTTGAATGAAAATGGGAAA